GATCTCCAGGAGGCAGGGAGCAGGAGATGGAAAGCTGAAATCAGGGGCAGATAATGGTAGGTTGATACTTTGCTGGGAAGGAGAGAGAGTTGCCAACTCCAGGTTGGGAGATTCCTGAAGATTTGAGGGGTGGAGCCTGGAGAGAGTTAGGTTTGAGGAGGAGTCGGACCTCAGACAGGTACAATGCCATCAACCACACCCTTCCAACCACCCATTTCCTCCCGGGAAACCTTTGGTGTCAATCTCCAGGTGAGGGGAGGAGATCACTCAGAATTACAACTGATCTCCAGGAAGGAGGGTAGAAGTCAGCTGCAGTCAGAGGGACAGATACCGGTAGGTTGATGGTTAGCTGGGAAGGAGATGGGGTTACCAACTCCAGGTTGGGATATTTCTGGGGATTTGAGGGGTGGAGCCTGGAAAGGGTGAGGTTTGAGGAGGGGTTGGATCTCAGACAGGTACAATGCCATAGACTCCACCACCCAAACCAACCATTTCTTCCTGGGTAACAATTGCTCCCAATCTCCAGGTGAGGGCTGGAGATCACTCAAAATTACAACTGCTCTTCACGTAGCAGAGATCAGTTCCTCTGGAGAAAATGGTGGACTCTATGTCATTATACCCTGCTGAGGTCACCACAGCAAATTGACGCTGATTGTCCAAGGCCTTGGCCCTCTCCCAGAGCCTCTTTCTAGAGCATTGTATTTATTTCCACAACAAGCCTTATTCCTAGTTAACTACAAAACTGGGAAGAATGTTGCACATGCTACATGAATGAATACCGAAGCAAAATTCTGGATTTCACCTCAAGAACTCTAGTCCTTTGTATTTATTTCCACAACAAGCCTTATTCCTAGTTAACTACAAAACTGGGAAGAATGTTGCACATGCTACATGAATGAATACCGAAGCAAAATTCTGGATTTCACCTCAAGAACTCTAGTCCTTCCTAGATGTCAACACTTTCCACTCCTCTCAACTCAAATTCGGACATTTGTTCACAGTAATTAAGACAATAAATTCTAAACTTCTGAAGTTCATGAAGAAATTCCATTGCTCATATACTCTCAGAGATTTGATAAACTATTAATGAAACTTCATTCATGTGAAAGGATAAGTTATTATATACGAGCCAAACTAAATGTGGTGGAGAAATTGTGGTGGCCATAAGTCCACCATCCCCATTTTGAAGTGATTCTAAAATGTTGTGAGAGCTTGATCCTGATACAGGCCATGGCACAGAGCTCTCCACCCCCTTGCCCTTTTCAAGTGCCAGAAAAGCTGCAACCTACAGCAGCTGTTTTGCATTTGGTAAGGCACGGAGTGGGAGGGGAGCTCCATGCCCTGGGCCCAATCCCCGTTGCAGCATTTTAAAATCACCTTACAATGGTGATGGTGAATTTGTGGCCACTACAAGTTCTCCACCATGTTTAGTTTGGCCCTATATATAGCAGTATTTAGAAGCCTTGATGTGCGATAGGAATTAGAAAAAAGAAGAAGTAGATTTTCTGACTCTATTCACTTGTAGAAAAAAGAAGAAGTAGATTTTCTGACTCTATTCACTTGTGATTCTCAGTGAGAGAATCACAAGTGAATTTCTGCCCAGGAATACCTGAACTGGATCTTCAAGGGTAGAAATCAGACCACAGAACTTCTTTCTCAAGCAGAATTAATTATGGGTAGAAGTGACATTGATGCATGAAACTGCCTTGTGTCAAGCCAGACCCAATAGACCAAGAAGCATTCTAACTGGCAGCAACTCTCCAGGAACTCAAGAAGACAAAGATCTTTTCCAACATCTTCTACTGGAGATGCCTACCTGAAGATGTCAGGGATTAATCCAAGGACTTCCTCTGCATATAATATCACTAAGTTACATGGCCTCTTCCCAAAACCAGAATGCTAAGTAGACAGTATTCCCACTTAAGCTGTGTGTTCAAACATTAACATGAAGAAAGACTCCTTAGCAGCTTACTTCTGTTAGCACGTTTCCATTAAGAGACTCAGTTTCAAGTATCTGAATATCAGGCTCTTGAATTACACCAACAGCTTTAGATGGCTTTTCATCCTTCTCCCCAGATTCATCACAAAGGCTGGATCTGTTAGGGCCAAAAAGACAGTTGCACAGTTAATTCACACTTTGTTACATAAATGCATGGCTTCCATTACAAACTTGATGGTTTCTTCAATTACTCAGCTCAATCCTGGATGGTATAGAAACAAAGAAATACCCTCCAGACATCAAGCAAGTATATGGTCCTTTCCATTTATCTGTTGCCTTTCCTAACATCCAGTGACCATAGTTCCCTCTAAGTTGAGTTGGTGTGAGCTAGCTCACAGATTTTTAGCCTCCGGCTCACACATTTTTGTCTTAGCTCAGGAAGGATGGCTCCAGAGCAGACTAATTTATGCAGCAGCCTAATCGCTCGCTCACAACTTTAATGCCAGTGGCTCACAAAGTAGAATTTTTGCTCACAAGACTCCACAGCTTAGAGGGAACATTGCCAGTGACCCTTTCAAGTTTTCTTAATGCAAGGAACTTCCTGACAGAAAAGACCAAAAGAGTATCCATTGAAGGGACTGATTTTCCCTCCGTACTACACCTGTTGAAGCTCAATCATCAGGCCACATAATGAACTCTACTTTGACTGGGCAGGAAGGGTGTTCTCACCCTGACATGCACAAGAGATGAAGAGCTGGAGCAAGAAATAGGAGTATGTAAGTAAAAAAGTACTTATTTTTTAAAAAACATGTCCTATGACATTATTCCTCTCACGTTTATCTCTGGTCATTGCACAACCTTTGCTCATATGACTTTATTCCCCTCACACTTCTCTTTGGGCAGTGTGTAGGCCTCCACAGTGGCCAAAGAGACAAGCAAGGTCACAGCAAAGTCACATGATCAAAGCCTATATCTTGTACTTGCAGCTAAAGGTTCTCGAGGCAGTTTACAGATCTCCATTAACACCATAAAACCATAATGACAACGAAACCAGCAATGGGGGCAAAAATCCTTTAGTAAAAAGAAAACACACCTTAAGTCTAGTAACTAAAAATTGTGTCAGAAATATTCTAATAAATTCCTTTAGCAAGTTCAGCAATAAAAATATATTGAAGCAATAAAAAGTTAAATCGCTAGAGATGGTAAAATACGAGGGATGACAAACTATTAGGGCAGGTCACCTAAAATACACATCAACAGTAATAATAAGAAATCATTGATCTGGTGCTGGAAACTTCAAAGACTAAAGTGCCAGCCAAATGGATGTGGGGGAGGGAATTCCAAAGCCATGGCATCAAGACAGATTAAGGTGTCTCTCTTGTCGCCAACCAAACCTCTTATTTCAGGACCAGACCAGATATTTTAAGGGTTTTAAGGTAATCGAATTGGGACTGAAAGCTCATGTCATTCTTCTAAACTTGGCAATACAAGTTCCCTATGTTGTGCCAATAAAAGATATGAGTAATTGTGCCACAAACTCATTTTACCAAATGCTAACTAAAAACTGGGGGGAGGTGGGCAACGAAGCCACTGACAAGCTGTCCTGTGGCTCAAAGGACTTTCATAAAACTTGAACCGATTAATTTCCCTTCCCTCTCCTTTTCTCCTCTGTGAGTCTCAGCTACCTTCAGTATTGTAGGCCTCCCAGAACATATTCAGCCCTTGCCAGAATGTTTTTAGCATCTCTTTCTTTCTTTAGATTAATGTATAAAGTCATAATTTTATGAATACCTGGGGAATTCCCCGAGGATGCAGAAATTTCAAATATACCTGTTAAAAGAGGTGATGTGTAAAATAATCTCACCTAGAGTGTCCATTCTCCTCAGATGATGAATAAAAATTTTCCATTTCTTCGGTGTTCAAGCCCAGCTCAGAGCCATAGCTTTGCTGGACAAGCTGCCAGAACTCCTGCTTTGTCAGTCTCTGCAAAACAGAAAACGGTTAAGTACACTTGGTCAGTAGCCGTCAGAAACTATTTAAATACAAGTAAAAAACTATTTTATACACTTGAAGGGCTCCAAGTTGACCATTATGAGAAATCTGTTTCATGCTATCCAGATAATATATCTAAGTTTTTTTTTACAAAGCATCCTGAGCTTTCATTGTAACACAAATGTTCAGTCCTTGTATCAGCTAACAAATATAAATCTAACACTCTAGGCAAGGAAGCTAGTTGGATCATCTGTCTTAACACTGTAAACTGCAAACGCTTTTCTATACATCTACTGGTATCTTAGCCCACCCACCCTGCAGTTCTTTAAATAAAACCTCCAAGTCATTTTTACTTACTATGAACAGCTGCATCCTCTCATTCAAAGCTAGTTGTGCCATAACTCCCTCTTAGCTAGCAATCTTCAGGTTAAGTAGTTTCTCCACCCAACAGCTTAAGAGGTTCCAATCGAAAAACAATAGCAAAGTAGTAAAGCACTGAGTGCTACCAAACCAAAAAGAGGCACCTCTACATTAAATCTCAGCTTTCATGTTAACTGTATTTTGCTTTCTTGTATCTTATTTTGTAAGGAAGATGTCTCCCTGCATCCATCTTGCAAAGAAGGTAAAGACTATGCATGGGGTTCACTAAATACCTGTAACATTATCATGGGTTGGACCCAACCAATTTTTCCACAGGTGAAAAAGGGAGGATGGGGTTCCCTTTGACCACCAAAAAGACTCCGCTGAGGATTATGGGACCTGCATATACAAAAGCCATGTGATTTCTAGGTAACCACAACAATATTGCCAGCCTTCAAACCTTGAGTTCTGTCAGTAAAAAACAGAGGAAAGACCCTCTCCAGAAATGTTTTGTCCTCCCAGTTCACCCCTGCTCCTTCCCCCCGCCTTGGAGGAAGGTCTCATTGGAGCCAGGTCCAGCAACAACCACCAGGCAACTTGCTGCCATGCAACTTGTGCAACTCACCCAGGTGTGGAGGTGGCTACTGATTGACTTGACGCCACACAACTCACCTGGGACCAGCAGCAACCTCTACACAACTTGGGTGACTTGGCTGGGCCTGGCAGTGGCCAGCAAACAACTCACCTGAATGATTTGGTACTGTATGACTTTTGGAACTAGGTCAGACGACTTTTCCCAGGGATAGACTGACAGGGAAGGGAAGGAAGAAAAGCTGAGAGCCTGTATGCAGCAGTAGTTAGATTTTCAGACTAGGATCTGGGAGGCCCAGGTTCAAATCCCCACTCTGGCATGGAAGCTTTATGGGTACCTTTGGCTAGTGACACTCTCTTGGCCTCATCTACCTCACAGGGTTGATGTAAGGATAAAATGGAGGAAGAGAGAATGATGCAAGCTGCTTTGAATCCCACTGGGGGAAAATGTGGGTTATAAATGAAGCAAATAAATAATGAATAAACCTGAAGACTAGGGAAGGCAGATAAATGAAAGGATGAATGGGAAGAACACAAGGAAGCGGGAAAAGAAGTGAGAATATGGGGGCTGCGATGAGGAGAGAAAGAGGAAATCATGTGAGGAAGCAGATATAGGGGGAAATGAAGTGACTGCAAGTCCTTCCAAGTTCCCCACTTATGTTGACATATTACACTACACCACATAAACCGACTATAAGGGACAAACTAAATAAATCTGGGATCTACTATCACATCCCCAACATATAACTTTTTCCCTACCAGATCTTCAAACAGAAGGGGATGGCAGAAGCACAGAGGAAACACCTTTCCCTTCACCAGAGTCAGAGGCCTGTTCTGTATCATACCACACACAGTTGCCTTTTGCAACTAAATTACAAACACAGATTCCCAATGTTTTATCTCGCTGGGCCCTAAATGAGAAGCATCCTACCAAAAAGAAGACATGGTACACAACCTTCCTGTATGCCTTTCTGGCACACTGATCCTGCATACTTTGCGCAATTATCATTTTGTCTCCAAAGGGCAATGTTTGTATCTTGCAGCTTCAGTAGGTGCTACCCAAAAACTAGATTTTTGGTGGAACATCTTCACAAATAATGCAACTGCAAAATGCAAGTTGCCCTTTTCAGGTTAAATGGTGATCAAACATACTGAGATGATCATACGTAGAGTGCTCTCCTGGTATATGGGATCAGAGACCCAAAAACACAACACTTGAAGAGGGCACTAATATTCAGGGCTTCCACCAGGAGTACTTAGTAAATTGTGCATACTCTAACCCAGTGATGGCGAACCTTTTAGAGACCGAGTGCCCAAACTGCGACCCCAAACCCACTTACTTATTGCAAAGTGTTGTGTATTCAAAGAGACCTGAATGCACTGAACTGTATGGAACTTGATGTATGTGAAACATACCATTGAAGTACAATGTAAAGCTTCGGCCTGGGCTAGGATCCTAATGTAACCAATAGGAGCACTAGCCCAGGATGTGTCATCCAATTACCTTACAGAGCAGGAGCGCTTGTGATTGGTCATTATCTGTTCAACCTGATAGGTTGTTATTTGTACAGTGGGTGTGGCTACATTAGCCAGGAATGTTTAAATACAGAGCAGCTGCTATGTTAAAGCTGTTCTGGCTGACTGATGTTGTACCGTGTTGGAGAAGTAACGAAGCTGAAGAATAAAAGCCGCATTCTTGCTGAATCACTCTCCGACTCTTTGTTAAGCTCACGACTTAACACAAAGTGCCAACGCGGCAATTTAACCTGAATACTGAGGTTTTACTTTAGAAAAAACAACTCATACATTAACTTAAGATGATCCAAACAAAGTAAGGAAAGCAATCCCAAATGCGTTCATTTACTTAAAATTATTTGGCAGAGAATTCGACACTTTAATGATGGTCTGGGCCTGGCTGGGGCGATGGCACGCGTGCCCACAGAGAGGGCTCTGAGTGCCACCTCGGTCGCCACCACTGCTCTAACCTGATCAAATAATTCCTAGCACGTGAGCAAATGAATAGTTCTTAAGAATATGAAAAAACCAGGGAACGCATCTACACAAACAGACCAGGGATAGCTCTACACTGAGCCAGTATAATGAAGTGGCTAGAGCGTCTGGGAAACCAGGGTTCAAATCCCCACCCTGGCATGAAGCTTATTGGGTGATCTTGGGCCTGTCACACTGTCTCTCAGCCTGACCTACCTCACAAAGTTGTTCTGAGGACAAAAGTGTGGAAGGGAGAACCATGTATGTCACCCTAATTGCCTTGGCATGAGGGTAGGAAGAATATACCTAAAATGTAGATAATATATTTCTGGATAATTAGTGACACTTTGGCTAACAGCAAGCAGCAAGTACAGTATTCATGAGTTTAGCCCTCTTGAACAGCTAACTGACAAGTGGCATGGACTTTAATAAAAGCTCTTTAAAAGTTTTTGATTAGTAGAATGTTTTTCATATGGCTGAGAATATCTACCATCTTTTAAAAGTATTTCTTGTTATCTTGCTGTTAACTGCCTTGAACCCTTAACTGCCTTGAACCCTTCATTGAGAGGAAGAGTATAAATGTTTTAAAATATAATAAATAAAAATGATACCCATTCTAATTTGGGAAGGTAATGCCTCACAGACACACAATTAACTTGACCAGAAGTATACAAGACAGACTTCTGCACTCAAAGAATAATTGTCTTGTGGAATTCACTGCAACAAGAAAGGCTATTGAACAAATTCAGCGGCCATTAGCCACCATGACTGAATGGAACCATCTATGTTCTGAGGCAGTAACTCTCTGAACACGGGGGTTGGTAGGCAGCAACAACACAGAAAGGCTTTGGCCACCATATTCTCTTTGTAGTCCTTCCAGGGACATTGGGTTGGCCACTGTGTCAAAGCAGCATGTGGGACTAGATGGACCAATGGTATGATATAACACAGCTACTCTTTTAGTTGAGTTATCACAAAGGGGCAGAAAGATAAAGTTGCAGCCATTTTACAATTTCAATTGAATCAGGGCCAAAGATACAAAGAGGAGCTGAGGCTGTCAACTAGCAGAACATAAAGCACCTGCAAGTACAGGAGCCCACTCGGGGAATTGGATTCAAGGTTAGCAAATATGCTGCCAGCTGTAGGGGAATTTACGTCTTCCAAACACTTTGCTCACACATTTGAAAAAAAGAAACACACACAAATATTACATGACTGCCTTAAGACTTCAGTGCTCTCCCAGGTATAAAAAATTAAACCCCATAGTTATGCCTCTGGATTTTCTACTCAGAAAAGTGGGGAGTGTTCAGCAATACTTTCGCAGGCTGACACTTAAAAACCAACACCCATCAAGTTCATCTATGTTTGAAGTACTACTGGTTTTTCCACCTTTCAACAGCTCACAGAGATATACTTTTACCTTCCTTCTAACTGAATGACTTCTTTAAAACATTGGGGCACCTTGTCAAAGTCCAAGATTTCTAAATGGAGATGTCAGCAGATCAGGAAGTGGACCAGGCAGGTTTCCAGAGAGCTATGCTCCCTTCTTTACTGGCCAATAAAGTTTTCTATGACCTTGAGAATAGGTACAAGCTAGGTTCTTGACATGTTCTTGACAGTCCTAAACTGACCTAGTCACTTTCACTTAGCCCGTTTCCAAACATGAACAGATTCCACTGATGCAGTTAGTGCAAGGCTCAAGCATGATATTTATCTGCTTCTAGCAAGCATTCTCCCGCCATCTGGGGTCTAAGCCAGCGGGGCTCTTCTTTGGTTCTTACTCTAATTTTTTATATGAGGCATGGTTAACACACTTAAGAGACCCCTCCTCCTTGGATTTATTGCCATAACTTGCAGGTTTCTAAGTTATTCTGCAGGTAGGAGTCTGCCTCAGGAATATGTCAGCAGTAGGGGTTAATTTTTGCCCTGGCCTCAATGGTCCAGGCTAGCCTGCTCTGGTCAGGTCTCAGAAGCTAAGAAGGGTTGGTGCTGGTTAGTATTTGGATGGGAGATGAGGGGTTGCCATAAGTCAGCTGTGACTTGATGGCACT